CTGGAGCTGGTTTTCTGTCTGTTTTTATAGTTTGGGAGTCTTAATGATAGTCCATGGTTGGCTAGCCATTTGCATGGTGAAAATGGTATGTGGTCTTCAAAGTAGATTAGATAGCAATTTTAAGAAATTGTTTCTGGGGGATGTGTTATCTCACATAAGCAGTGCTGAGTGCCACATAACACTAGAGCATGGCTATAGAGCTACGGGAAGCATTTTGCTTCTGCATGACCAGACTGTATAGACAACACCTAAATCCTCAATTTGAGCGCTATTGCTAGTTTTTCCAGTGTGGAGACCATTCTAATCTTCTATGAAGCAGATTAGCAGCAGGAGGGCTTACAGTGGAAAGGTATTTTCTTCAGTCCAGGTGTGAAGTAATTGAACTGTGTACAGTATGAATTCAAGCTCATCTGATAACACACTTCAGAATCTGATTACACATGCAAAAATGGTTTGTTCAGACTGGTGTGACATCGAAAAGTAGTAGAATGATGGGGCATGTCTTCTGAAAGAAAAATTTAAGATTTAATCCTAGTAAAAGGTAGTTTGAGACGACTGCTTCTCTAGCACATGATAGCTCAAGGAAAGTCAGTGTTTAGGAGGAGACCTGTGACCCTCAGCATGCTGAGCAATGTCCTTCCAAGCATTGGTACATTCCATCTTACCCTCTTGTAGTCATCTCTGCTTGAAGCATGTTGCTGATATGTCTTTTGGATAATGCCTGGATAAATCTCTTCATCCTGCTCCATCTTCTCTGCCTTTAAAAACCTGCCAAAATCTGTCATCTTTATTTGGGATCCTTAAATGTTTTGGGTCTTTCCCTTTGACTTTAAGTTTCTTTAAAAGTAACCCAGTTCTTTACATGCATAGACTCATGTAAGGTAGTAAGAATAGCTTAAATATCACTATCTCTTAGCAATAGTACTGTTCACACTACTTTGATTCCTTTGTCAAATCCTGTCAGTGTGCCAACAGCTACCCGATAAATCCAACACAACCAAAAGATACTGCAGAATGTCATTGTATTTGTTGTGGATATTTTTCTCATGGGGTGTAGCAAGCATGGTTGTTGTGGACATTTGGGGAGAAATTATTTCCCAACTACTTTGGTTGATCATTTGCACTAATACAGCAGTCTAACTGCTATTGCAAAATTAATACTTTTTGAAGAACATAAGTGAAACTGGACCAACAGGGCTTCTAAGGTAACATGATGATCTAATGTATATGTTCCATTCACAGAAGGAACATTGCACCAATGCTGAGTCACATTAAGCCCTTGGGAAATATGCCTTGACTCCAGTTGTGCAAACAATTGAAGATGTACCTAACATCTCTGATTATTCAACAGGTCTTTTTTCCTCCTATATAACTAATCTGCAATTTGTGTACTGGGGGGCTGGTTTGTCACAACTTATTGTGGCTTCTGAACTTTTAGAGCAGTTATCAGTTATCATTCCTGAGGGTGTCCTGTAGAAGGAGTTGTATGGCTACAGGGAAATGAAGATAGTAATCACCTCATAGTTCTGGAATTTTGGTCTCTCTTGTGTATGCCTGAGAAGTGTTTGTGTCTGGTTCAGTACTGGGATTGTCAAAGACAGCAGTTGTTCCTTGAGGTTCACTTTCCAAACTGTGGCCTATTAGCACTTCTCTCTCACATTGGTTTTATTCAGTACTTCTTACTCAAGCTGTATTTGAAAGGAACAGAGGAACAGTTACTATTTTAGATTAATGTATTTAATTTTTTTTCTCTTGAAGAATTCCCATTAATGTACATTAATGTACAGTATAACTTTCACAGGGAGTTTGAATTTTTCAAGTCCTGATGAAGGTTAATGTCAAACAAGAAAGTTTGAAGTTCAGAGAATTTTATGCAATTCAAGGAGTTTGAACACGTCTTCCACAAAGCTTTGTTTTCCCAGAAACTACTCAGATCAGAAGAGGTGAAGTTTCTGTGACTTTTAAAATTTATTGATGAATAATGTGTTTCTGAACTACATTAGAATGGAACTTAGTCCAGTGCTTTGGTTTATGTATTTCATAGCACTTTCCCTTAAACACAACTAATGTTAATTTTAACTAGCTTAGATACAATGTATGATCACACTGTAAGTGCAGGACTTGGCTTTGAAAATACACCCTATGACAACTGTTCTTTATTTGAAAACTAGAGACAACTTCTTTTCTTCTAAGTATTAGTTTAACAGGCTTGGTGATAGTACCAAATATGAGTTTGTTTTCTTTTTTCATTTAATGGTCCCAATTTCACAAAATTCTTTTGCTTTGCCCTGACATTTGCAAATCTAGTTCTTCTATGTGCATTTGCAACAGTTGTAGTGAGAATCACTCATTTTTTAAGTGCTCTTAATCTAATTTGTTGTTGTTGTTGTTGTTCTGACTTGTGTGCTCTTTTTCCAAAGCATTTAAGAGAACTAACTCACTCATGAAATTGTGAGGATTGTGGGAATATTCTTCTGATACTTATAAAACACCTACTGGTAAATTAGTTGCTATGTGGAGCTATCAGAAATATAAGGACAAATTTTTCTTTTTCATTTTGTGCAGAAAAAAATAGTTTTTCATTATGTGCAAAAGGCATGATGATGGGGCGGGGGGTGGGGGGGGTGAAGGATAGACATGGTGAAACTGTATCAGCTGGTAGGAATACACCCGATTGCTTCAGTCAGTGTCATGTGTTTTATGGGTGAATTTCCTCACTGCTGTGCTGCTGTTCTCAGCTGTATGAGGCATCCTGGAGAGGTGAGCAGGCTGACACAAGTTATCTCTGTGCTCCCACACACAGTTGTCAGCAGGATTAGCGTATTGGGGTGCCTGAGCTCTCTGCCATCTGAAACCAGCTAGATGGAATGGGTTCAGACACTAGAAGGTGGAAGTAGTAGAAGCTAGTAGGGAAGACAGAAAGAATGGGTGAGGGAAAGGGAGTAGGAATTCTAAGTAAAAAAAGCAGCAGCAAAGCATATAACCATACTGACAGGTGTGTGTGGTAGAACCTGTGTTGTAGTTTTTTTTAAAAAAAGATATTTGTACTATAGAGGCCTCCTTGATCAGCTGGTAGTATTGCCATGTGAGAATAGCAGGCTGACCAAGGCAGTGATAGACACCAGTAAGGCTTCAGGCTAAAGTAAGTAGTCTTAAAAACAACGCTGTGTTACATAGTCGTGTTCATTTGGGAGCTTCCATGCTAAGCTGCTTTCTCTGAACCTGGCAATTTTGTCTCGCCCTGTTCCTTATCCCACTCATTTCTGGTATTCTCTGGCCACTCATGGAGCCCAACGATTTGGGTAATAGAAATATACCAAGAATGTGAATAAGGCGTTTTCAGGATTTGCAGACTTTTGGAATACAAACTTCCCTATGTTTGCAGGGAGCACCTTGAGTTGGTTGTCTGTTTGTCTGTCTGCTTAAAATCTCAAACAGCATAAAGCTGCTTGTTTGTTTTTTTCAGGCAGACGGCGTTCCACTTGAATCTCATGAATTGCCTATTTAATTGTCATTTCCGTCAGCTGAAAATAAAAACTGATGATGTGTGGTCAAGGCAGAGCTCATGCAAGAATGAAGTTATGGGGAAATAATAGGGTTTTTCCTTTATTGGCTTTGTGTATAATTGAAAGGATTACAGCACCAGTAAAGTGTGACTTAGGGAGTAGGAATTCTGTGCCCTTGTGGTGGAGAGTGCTGAGGGTGCTGAGGAAGGCTTAGATATGGAAATAGCTGCTCTATGTAAGTATAAGATGCCTTGAGAATCCTGGCATTTGTCCTGTGACATAAGCTCTAGTTTAGCTGTGAGGTAGGATAACACCTCATTAGACCTCAATTAAGGTGTTGTGAGGCATATCTCCTGATCTTACTCATCAGAGTGTAATAAAAGCAAAAGATCTTTTTGTGCCCTTCCTAAAAGAAGATTTGATTTGTTTGAGAACCTCTGTTAGCAAAACTTTTGTCTTAGTAAGAAAAAAACCTATTCATAGTAAGGACAGTGTCACATGAAGACTGTGGTATTGCTATAAAATTGCACAAATTGAACAGTATAATGGAAAGCTTCTGTAAATGAGGTCGTTCAGGCCAGGAATTGAATTAGTGGGTGACATGGTTTGGCTTTCCTCTTTAATGCAAGAGTTTTTCTGGGACTTCATGTTTCTGCAGGCAAGTGTGTGTATGTATTTGTCATGTCATTTTCATTCTTCACACCCTATTGTTAATAAAAGCTCTTTTTCTCTAAGTTTTCTGAGTTCTCATTTTGTTGGCAAATTATGGAAAGGAAAGCCAGGGGACGCTTTAATGGCGTATTGCTTAGTCTTCAGACTCTGAGTCCATAACTTTCTGAAGCAGTGGCATGTGCTGTGAAAAGGCAATGCACTTTGGTGGCAGCACTGCTTTTCTAAAATAAAACCAATGCTTTTTGTACTTGGAGAGAAACCTTTATTGTGAGAATTCTGCATGAGGACTCTCACAGAAGAGGGAAGTGAGAGGCAAAATAGGTCCTATCTTCCTCTTGCAATATTGAGCCACAAATAATCTGCTAAGCACCAAGTGCTGTCATGCAAGATGTTTTTCTCCTGGCTTGCCAATCAAATTAATTTCCATTAGTCATCTGAGTCTGAGTACTGAACATGGAATGCATTTTTCCTAAACGAGACATTCTCTTCAGAACGGAAGCTAGAGCCACAAATTTTATGAGTGCTGAAATGTCCATGGCAGTATTTCAATTTTCCGCTCTTCATTGCTGAAATTCCAGTACTGAAGCTCAGATGTATAGTACTGTCAAGTCAGTAGACAAAGTTTTTTTCAGAATCTCAGCAGAAATATATATTACAATTTTGTTCTTTAATATATGCATATATATATATATATATATATACATACATATGCTGACAATATCTATTGTCAGCATGTTGCAGTGGCATCCAACATTACAGTGAATCCTGTAATACACACTTCTATTTATTTGGTTATTTATTTGTTTGTTTTCCCCCATGCAGTTCAGATGGAGAAAATGGAACTGATGAGAAAAGAAGGGCTGGAAAATCACCCACTGTGTCGCTGCAGACCTCTACCAGTGAAATGGAGTATTTTGATGACCGGAAAAAAGTTGATGTTGCCAGGTAATGTCAGAAATATGGTCAGTTTTCCTCTAGTAAGGTAGTTAGAATGGCTGCAACCCACTTCAAAAGCTAGACTGTATTTTTCAGATATCCTAATAGAGGGTTAGCTTGCACGCTATGCAAGTGTATTGGAATCCAGGTACCTTCCTTGGTTGCTCTGTTACCTACTACAAGTAGTCACAATAGAATTTAGACTCTGGGCTGACTTAGTTCCACTGTTCTAGGAAAAAGTGTATTTCACTGTTTGGTGCCACTGCTAGTTAAATTCCTTTCATAATCAATTTGACAGGCAGTCAAACTGAGCTGCAGTTTTAGTCCTGGCCTCTTTCCAGAACAGTTTCATGCTGGAATATTGATTGTCCATGGTAAAACTATGACGTAAGTTTTAAATTTGGACTCTGTGTCATATATTGCATCAGATTCTTGTAATGTCCCCACAAAGACATTCATTCTTCTTTTGCTGGAGAACTGGAATGCATTTTAAGTGCTTATAAAAGAAGCTAAAATCCCATGCTTGAACCTTTGCATCCCTTTCACTTTGTCAACTGAACAGTCAGTGCAAAAGTCAGTGGACAGCCTGACACTGTTGTTTTGGTCACAAGGCAAATATTTAAAAAAATCACTTAATTTCATGAAATATCTTTGAGGAAAAGGTATTTGAAGGAATACGTTACCGCTTTTTTTCTTCCCCAATAGTTGCAGTCTTACCTCTCATATGCTGTAATTTACTGCTTTGGGTGAAGACTAAACATAAGATTTTTGCCAGGCTTACTATTTGTTTTAGTTCAACCTGTACTTTACGTGAGCTCACTAATACATATATTCACATATTTTAGAGTTTTCTGATATGAGGGACCTCCTGAGGTGTGCAGCCAGTTTCTCTGCTAAGTCAGTGTCTAAGTCAGATTTCTACACAATCTCTTTCCAGCTGTGTCTCCATAACACTCAAGGTTTCTCTTCCATTCACTGATAAGGTGCTGTAATGGAAATTTTCATAGCACCTTTATTTGACTACTGTATCTCTAGCAAAATGTGTTTTTCAGGTCATTCCATATGAGTCCTGTGATATGGGGTTTTTTTCTGCTATTCAGTTTGCATCTGATAGCCTCTGAAAAAGAGCTACCTGATTTTTATACTATGTTAATATACATTTATTCTGTGCCACATAACTCTCAGAGAGAGTGTTATCCTCTTTCTTATTTATGAAACAGTTATCCCACTTCTCTGTTTTTCTGAGCAATCCATGCCATTAATTCTGCCTGTGTAAAATAAGCAAAACTGATTTTACCAGCCATCCATAGAGAATTTAATCTGTACTTGGCTTTTTTAGAGTTGTTTGAGGTTTTGTTTGGTTTTCCAGTATAAATGGCTAGAGCTGTACAAGTACAGCTACCTATACACCTGGCACTCAGAATTCCATTTCATTTTCTGTAAGGTTGCTGTTGTCTTGATGATTTCATTACATTGCACTACACTACATTACAGAGTTCATAGCCGTCCTCTGACTTGTGCACCTCTTCTTTGTTGTACTTTTCAAATGAGCTCACTGCTTGTGTTACAACTTCATAGCTTTCTGTACACTGCCTTTCATCTCAGCTGCTGAGTTTTGTATCATTTTATCTTCCATTAGTAAGGAATATGCTTGTTTAGTATTAGTATTTCAAACGTTGCCCAGAAACGAAGGTGAAGCTAAGCAATCTTATAATTCATTAAGATGTAAAAATGTTTTGAACTTTTTCTATTGCCTTGCCAGCTAGTCAGTTATTTAGAATACCTCTTCTAAATTAAAAGGGGACCTTCATCAGACTGTCATAGCCAGCAGACTGACACAGTTTAAGAAAATATATACTCCTCTGTATCTCTGTAAAATTCTTGATGAATTAAATGATTTACCTAAAGGATTAATATGTTCCATGGAAAAGCACATCCTGTTGGTAACTTACCAAGACCAATAAACTGAAGCTGGGCTTACGTCAAATGCTTTAAATCTTCAGGGCCAAGAGCAGCACAGATAGTCCAGTCCTGACAATCAAGAGTGACTCCAAGATTGAAAGGAAAAAACGTGCTTCAAATCAGGTAAGGCAGAGACTCTACTTGTTTGTTTACATAGAGTAAAAATAAACAGGTAACTACCATGACAGGGCTTTTGTTTAGCAGCACTACAGTTCATGATTGTATAAGGACACAGTTTCATTTTTCATCAGTGTATTAGAGTCTGGGTAAAGCACAATATAGAGTTAATAGCCACATAGAAAAAAATGAGGATTTCATGTGAAATCCTCAAGTGGGCAGAGTGGGAAGGTGTGTGGAGGACAGGAAGTGGAGCAGGTCACTTGTTTGTCAGACTGTCTAATAAAGCATGTGTGTTTTTGTTGTGGGGCTTTTTTGTTTTTTAGCTGAAGGCAAATGCACATTTTCATAAGCTGTTTCTAGACGTTCCCATTGATGAGCCACTGAAACAAAGTAAGTGTTAATCCCCATGTTGTTGTTAACTGTGGATCCTAGATAATGTTGTTACTCAACAAATGTGATGTACAAGAGGAACTACCCAAATTTTAAAAACTTTTAAATCCAGTTGCTTAGAGCTACAGGGCCTTGATTCATGTGCAGTAGGCGTTGTGTTGTAATCTTGGAAAAATTAAACCTCTGCATGTTTGGTATATTTGGAAATTGTAACCCAATTTGCCATTCCTGGAGAGTAGCCTAATACAGTATTTTTTGGTACTGCATCTTCCTTGATAAAAGCAGTACTTGAGACAGCATTGGTCAAGTGATTAGCTTGAGTTTTTGCTGTTGATGATGTTTTAATATTTAAAAACACTAGTAAGAAAATTAATGCTTAAATGTTTAAATATTTTTAAATTAATTTTTAAATTTTAAATAAATATACTATTATCTATAGTACTTATAAGAAGGGAATTCTACACAGACGTATAGCAAATGTTTCTTGAAACAAATGCAGGAAAGGTGGTTCATGAGTGAGAAATGGTTTTCTCAATGTCTGTGAAGTAAAAGCAGTGTTACTTTACATGTGCTGTACCTCTGTTAGACGTCTAGTTTAGACAACGGCCGTAGAGCTGGAAGTTTTATGATAAAACCTTTCATTAAACGCTTCACATTTAAGTAATGCAGTTACCTGGAAGTTAGTAAAAAGTTTTTAGGCAGCTAGGTTGTATTCTCTCAGGAAACATTTTTATCCTTTGGAGGCCAGTTGCACATTACTATTCATTTTATTAATTTCAGTTGCTGTCCTCCAAATACTTTGAGTCTAAACTTAGGTCTGTAACATCTTCTGATCTTGTCAGTATTAGTTAAACTTACTGAAAATTTCATGGTTTGACAATGTTAATCAAAAGGTATAAACCTAAACATATCATAGCTTTGTAAAAAGAGCAAAACTGAAGCCAAATTGGCTGGGCTTGGCTTGTGATTACATCAAGATTATAGAATATCTATTTGTTTCAGGCTTTACCTGTGCTCTGCAGAAAGAAATTCTGTACCAAGGAAAGTTATTCATTTCTGAAAACTGGATTTGCTTCCATTCCAAGGTTTTTGGTAAAGATACTAAGGTTAGTAAAACGTTTATGTATAGAATGGTAGTTCTATTCTTAATCATTTGCACATCACCAGAAGTCCAAATTACTGTGCAAGGATAGAATAGTAATACTTCCAAGTTTTATTGAATACAATCACTGTTTATAAGTGATGTTTGAAAAACATTCTAGAACTGACTGTTATTATTAAGAGATTGAATCTCTTGTTCAAGGACTTAATGTCTGAAAGAATCAGATGAAAGGATGTGAAAGCAGCAGTGAGGGTATTGTCAAATCCATGTAACACAAATGGCAAAAATGTTTGTCTTGGGGTAAGTACTTAGAGGAGAAATGAAGGCTGAAGAGTATTAAGGGCTCCAAGACTATAGTTGGAGCAGTGGAGAGAAGGATCAAACATATTAAGGCAGTTAAAGAGGAAGAACTAAAACTGGCTTCTGACTTGAATAGTGAAGCTCTCTGAAGGAGTCTTCTAGCAGTTCCATTTTGCATAAACAGTGAAGAGAATTAGAAAAACCAGTGTGCAAGGTTTTTACTTGTGAACACAGTATGCAGATCACAAATGAGATATGAACTGTTGGGAAGATCATAAATAAGTCTTTCTTGGTGATCCACCTAAATCTTATTACCCCTGTGGTGAATGATATGCATACAGAAAAAACAAAGACTCAAAGACTTGGATCTGTTGATTTGAAGGTTTTGGAGTGTGCTTTGTTTACATAAACTGCTTTGGTTTTGACCTCTTCTGGGGAAACAGATCAATTTGTTTCAAGGATTTCTTTGACTTCTTCCTTTCAGGAGCATCCTTGAACAAAGCTCCTGGTTAGATCCAGTAAATTGAATGCTGAAATCAGTTTAGGGGTTGAGATTATCTCATTTCTCTGCAGTCAACTATTTTGATGGAATACCATCTGTTGTTAAAAGGCTTTTTATAAAGTGAAATAGGTGTAAAGTATGCTTGAAATTATTGACAGCACATTGTCCATAGCAACCATATGGGTTATTACAGCACTTGATCCAGGACTATTGTTGATTTCTAGTTAATGGTTTCTATTAGTCATAGACAGTACATTAACATGGTTGCTGTATTTGTTGGTGAAAGCTGTGTGGCACAAAGGAAAAAACATCTGGTTGAATACTGTCATTCAATATTAGTAACAGTTATCTTGGCAATTTATTAAAACTTAGGCTGCTGTACTGGTAATCTTCTGTTCACCATGAGCAAATGTAGTTACTGCAGACTGTGGAACAGCTTTCTAGTGTCAACTAAGCTAAATGTACACAAGAATCTGGTAGAACTTTACTGAGTAGAAAAACCTGGGAAAAAAAATGCAAAATGATGATGATGATGTAGTACTAGGAAATTACATTTGTCAACAGGGCTTTAAATTCAGGAACATATACATACACTACATATGTGCTGAAAAGTGAAAATATTTTACAAGATAGGGTAGAATAAACACTGTAAATGTAATTATAGCAATACTGCAAATTACTCAGTTCTGGGTCTTATTTTCAGAAGACATTGCTGGGAAAATTAAGAGTGAAGGTGACAGTACTTATCATTTATTTACAGCTTTGTTCAGCTTTTAAGAGTACCATCAAGAAAAAAGCTGGAAAATCAGGGATACAGGAAAAAATGATGTTGTGGGAGGGAAAGGAGGAAATCAAGCTGGACAGGAAAAGGAACATTATTAGCAGTCAGATACACTGACAAAGCCTCCAAGATGCAAAGCTGCTATTGTTTAAAACTAGTAAAACAACTTTAGCTCACGGATAAAGTGTTTTATTGTGAGAAACAGTGGATCTACATATTCTAGTTAATTTTTGACAAGAATTCTACCTGCAAAATTTTTTTTAATGAAAGCTATCATGCAAGGAACAGCTACACAATTCAGGAATTTTGAGTATGCAATAAAGACACTATGTATATTCAGAATGAAAAAATTGCTTTTGCAGGATTGAATAGGCATTGAAAGACTTTCTCTCCAGGTAGCTCTAATTTGGATATATATGTTGACCTTGAGTCTTCCTTGGATTTAGACATTGTTCTACCCTTTTAAATTACTGTCCATGTTGCCTGCAGCTAAACCTTTTATTCTGAAATAATTATTGTTCCAGATAAAAGTAGTTGTGATCAAACAGTGATTCCACCCTTTCAGTCTAATGCTGTGGGAACAGTGCAATATGCAAGTGCTGAATGGAACGTTCAAAAAAATGTTAGATTTGATTACAGTTATGTTATCCATCAAAACTACACAAAGTAGAATGGCATTAACATCTCTGATATAAAGTTGTTTAAGCTGAATTGTGAACTGAGCCAACTAGAAAAATGGTAAGCTGCTTTCATGCAGCTTGTAGTAGAACTTCTGTTTGACTAGTATTTGGCAGTCTTGCAACCAAAATACACAAAGATTTATTTTTTTTTTACCTGGAAAAATTTTTCAGTTCATGATTTCATGTTACTGTTCTGAACAAAAGTTAACAAGAAACTGCACAGAGTAACTTCATTCTCTTCCAATGGCATGTTTTAATTCAGTGCTGTGATTGCTAACTGAACAATTTATGGACACTTTTAACTTTGCTTACAAATTTCTCAGGTAGTTCTGAGACCTTGTGCTAAAGGTGTTTTTAATAGGATCTGTTTCTTAATCATGGATGTTATTATCCATGATTATTATATTATAGTATAGTATATTAATATCTAGGATTATTTTATTTGCCTAACTCACTAAACCTCTAGGTTTTTCAACTCACTGTCTCCAATCAGGTCTTTTAACCTTTGTAAATTGGGATTTGTGGGAAGAACCATGCAGAATATCTGAAGTGAAATACTCTGAAACTTAGCAGACATTAAGCTAATGGAAGCATTAACACAAGCATAACACAAGCAGGAAGAAAAATTGATAACTTTTCAATGTTAATGTAGACTGCCTCCTTGGCACACATAGGAATCAGTTGAAGTCAGGAGGTGTGTCAGTATTGGGTCTTTGAACCTTGCTGAAGGACAAGCTGCGTACTCTCCTGCTTGTTGTAGATCTGTAAGTGGTGAGAAGACTTTTATGTTCATTGTTCAATAAGCTTGTCTTGTCTGATAAGTTCTGAAATATTTGGTTTCCAAACAAAGAAGGATAACTTTAGGATTGGTTCATTTTGCTGATCAGCAGTACACTAAGCCTGTAGTCTTGTAAGAGCCAGAAGTCTTGTCAGGAAAGGAAGACACAAACTAAAGCCCAGATGAGCATTTTTTAAAGGTCAGAAGTAAAAGCAGTTAATTATGGTTTCAGATTATTACGTTTCTTATTTCATATGAAATAAAAGTAACCAGAAATGCAGTGGAGACATCTTTAAATAGTGAAGTGTTGAAAGTGTGGCTTATCCCAGTGGCTGGGCTGGCACCTTGGGACAGAGCATGATGCAGATTTGTGTGCAAGTATTGGGATTCAAGTGCTACATTGATCTTGTTTCAGATTAGTATACCTGTGCTGTCAGTGACACTTCTGAAGAAAACCAAAACTGCCCTTCTTGTGCCAAATGCTCTGATCATAGCAACAATGACGGATAGGGTAAGTACTGGTAGAGCACAATGGTATGAGAATAGTGAGAGAATAAAAAAATAATCTCTTTTTGCCACCTGCTCTCTGTAATCTTTTATTCCCTGTTTTTGAAGAATTTATAGCATCAGAGGAACTGAAAAAGCTGAGTCAGGAGGTGCATACACAGAGTCGCCTGCGTTGTTGGCTCTGTCAGTGTTCTCTCATTTACTTTTATCTTACCTAACCAGTAATACCTAAGACACACAGAAATCTGTTGCTTACAGTGATATCCAGGAATTGTAATTACATCAATCAGTAGGAAATGTGATTATCCTATGAGCAGCTTCAGAAACAACACATTTTCATTTCACAAATATTTTGTGGGGGCAGGAGACAGTACATAAAAGCAAGTTTGGGGTTTTGTTTGTTTGGAGTTTTTTTAAAGGGTAGGTAAAACAGCATGGAAACTGTTTTTAAAAGAATGAACAGGTCTGGATTATGCTCTTGTTCCTGCTGCAGAACATGGTAACTTTTATCTGCCTTTTCTGTATTTGTGTGATAAACTTCAAATTGTAGGCTTAGAAGGACCGCAGGATTTTCCTGCCATACTGAAGTTCTTGAAAATTTTTTCTTGGTCAGCAAAATCACCTGTCAAGTTTTATTTAGATAAAAGGAAGACTGTATGTCTTTTGCAAATAGTCATGGAACTTATGTTTTGCAGTACATGTTTGTCTCGCTGCTCTCCAGAGATACCACCTACAAGCTATTAAAATCTATCTGTAGACATCTTGACGTAAGTACTAGTGGCAGTGAAGATGGTATGTAGCTTTGTGTTCATTATTACTGCTATTCTGCTGTGAAATACTAGATACTTTCTGCCTGTGTTCCTTGTTAACACTGCTGCTTTTTTTCAGGATACAAGCATGGGCAACAGTCCAAATCCCTCTTCTGCAGAAAACAGCTTCAGGGCTGATCGCCCTAGAACTCTGCCCCTGGTAAATGGCTTAGAAGTTTGTTCTTTTGTTGTGTGGCATCTTTCATTGCAAGTACTATTTATAATGCCCGAAGAAAGGAAACTGAAGGAAATCATGGCATCTGTTTCTAAAATTTCCATGAGTCTTTAATGCTAGAAAACAAGTTGGAATAATTAGCATAATTATCTGGTGATGTGCAGTTTATATACATGCGTGCGCTTTGGATTTATTCACAGTCTGTATGTTATTCATATCACTGTCTAGCAGTCAGATTTCACTGTACTGATGCAAAGTCTGCCAGGAACAGTTTTTGAAGTGTTTCTAGTAGCAAGTCTTCCTCTGTAAAACTGTAAAACTGTTCACTCAACTTCAAGAGCTGTGAAGCCACATGTGATGACCAGAGCCTAATGTGAGTCCAAGAGCTTGTCCTGGACTTACAGCTTGTGCAAACTTAACAGTCTTTCTTATAGACAACACAGGAGATAAATCTTGAATTCTGGTGATGTTATGGAGCTTATTTTTTAATTTGATCTCAACATCTTAATATCAAAGATTGTTCCTAGTTAAACAGTTCTAAGGCTTTGATCTTTGGTTCAGATTCTAGAGGAAATTAGATTGTTTAGATTTAGAACAGGGCTGAGCCTTTTTGTGATTATTTCTCCCCATCAGGATTTCACTGAAGATTATTCTGATCTGGATGGAATAGTGCAACAGCGAAGACAAGAGATGGAAGAGTCCAGCAGCACAGGCTCACAGACACCAGAGCTGGAATGCTTTCAAGGTGAGTGGGATCATGGAGCCCCAAGAGAAAGAGAACGGGCTAGCTCTCAGTTTTGCTTCTGTATCCCCTTCTGATGTGGAACGTAGATTCTCCACAGTCCTAGAGAATTATGCGGGTTTTGAGGTCTTCCTCAAGGCCCCAGTACTTACATTTCTGTTACTATAGCCCTCTGCAATCCAGACTCAGACAATGACTTGGTCATCAGCAGATCTAAATTGTCACTACTGGTTCCAGTTGCTTAGTGATGCGAGCAGAGATAGAATGTAGGAGCTGTTCATGCTTTAAAACACAAAAGAAAAATTAACAATCCTAACCAATTCTGAAGTAGTTCAAGTCACAAGTGTAACTTCTGATCTATACAAATAATATTTTGTAGCACAGTAGCTTTTGGTCATCAAGGTTATTTTTGATGTGTTTTTGTGGGGATTTTTAAACACTCATTTTATTCTTTGCAGCTATTAAGATACTTGAAGATACTATCCAAAGTTCTTCTTTCTTTACCTCACTCTTTGTAATCTATTTTCTCAAGTTCTTCACCTAACTAGCAGCCATTCTGATTGAAACTCACTTCATAACTCATACTTCATAACCTCATGAGTACAGCAATACTTGTTTTGTGTAGCTCATGCTGAATGTTGTCATGAAAATATAAATTATTCTCTTGTACAATTAATATATGTTAAGATATTAGTATGTTGTTATGCTGCTAGTACTCTGGGTTCCATCTTGACTATAATTTACATAAGAAACTGTTTAAAGATACTGTCAATTTTTATAGTAGTTTTCTATCATGTTATTTTTTATTAACTCTCCCTTTTGCTCCGTGTCTTTTCTTCAGCAGGATGATTTGGAGTTATTTGCTTTCATTGGTATTTAATATTTATTGCGCATCTGTCTTTAATTGTGTGGTGCTTTTCATTAAATTGTGGCGTCATCACATGCCACAGAAGTGCTTCTCAATAATGTTTTTACTTGCTGTCTTACTTCCTGATAGCTAGTAACTTCTTCAAAACATTCCATTTTCTCTTTCCACAAATGAAAGCCAGTACCCAGGCAAAGAACCACCCCAGGAAAAGGAGGTGAAAGCAGGGGTGAAAGGCAGTATGTCTGTCACTCATGGTTGTTTCTTGTGCATCATTAGAGCAAATCCAGAGTAAGCAAGGACAGCATAAAACTGAGTGTGATCAGATTTTTCTGTCCCATTTCTTTCAAGATAACATAGGCATTTTTAAAGACAGTCAGGAACAAGAGTTGTAATGTCCTTTTTAAAGTAACAATCCACTATCCCCATTTGATGTTGCTGTTAAAGTAATTTAGAATCATTACTCTAGCAAATTCAAGCCTTTTGAGAGATTACTTTTATGACTATAATCTTCTGCCTGGAAATTCAGTAGTAGCTTTTCAACATTTTCATGGATTGCCATCTTTTAAAAGATCTGGAATATAAATGCAACATGCATCACCTTCTTACAATCCAAGTGCTTCTTTTTATTTGTATTGATGTGGAATTAGTATGTAAGCTATTTCAAGGATACTAAACCAGCTGCCTTCTTTTTACCCAATAGTACAGAAATGTACCTTTAAAAACTCTCCTCTTTCTCTTTTTCTCGACCAACATAAGCTATCAATGATTTTCTTTGACTTTGTATTTCTCATCTATTAAAAATCTTTCTTTTGACAGATTATCACGTTGTTGAAACAGAGACTCACCTGAAAGTTTCCAAGCCTGAGGCCAAGTCTGTTCGTTCAGATGCACATAGTAAACATGGGCCTGATGGAAAAGCCCGAAACAGTTCTCGAAATGGTAAGAAGTCAAGGACAGATCTTCAGCTGGAATAAATTGAGATAAGTTTGCATAATTAGGTCAGTTCACATAATGTGGAAGATGTCTTTCTTTGTTTCTCTGTTTTGCATTCTCCTAAACACTGTTTATATTCTGTGGTCTGCTCTCCTCAAAGTAAGGCTTGGTTCTTTCCCTTGCAGGCCACTCTGAAGCCTTCAGGTTCCTCCACAAAGTGAAGTCCCAGAAGCTCTTATCTCTGAACCATGTACTTGTATTTTATGCAATTCTGTAAGTTAGTAATAACAAGATTGTCAAAAACTACGGTTTTCTTATAAGCATGATTGATACCATCTAAGCTTAACCTGATAAAAGGAAATTACTGGAAATTGTGGCCTTTACACTTTCCAAAAATGTGTATATGCGTACACACACACACACATATATGCATACACACACACACACACACACACATATATATATATATATATATATACACATAGTTCTATATAAGACTGTTGGGATAAGCTTATATTTTACTGGCCATTTACTTTTAAAAGCAAAGGGACTTTAGATTCAGAAAATGTTAAAAGTGTTTAACTACTTGCAGAGGTTACTTTTGCATGTCACTTAGCAAACATACTCAGGTTTGAGATTTTCCTAACTGTCTGAAGTACCATTGATGGTATTCCTGAAATGTTTCTAAGAACAACACCTTTATTTTTGAACATGTACAAATAACAATTTAAATGGCTTTTAAAAATAATTTTGTCAGGTACTGATAAAGTTTCCTTAACTGCTATCCTTTATTTTTCTCTCTTACAGCGTTTGTGTTTTAATACTTTCCACCTTCTACATGAGATATAAAATTAACATCCTGGAAGAACGCCTTATGTCCATGACAGCTTTTGATTCACATATTAAGGAGTAAGATAAACTCTGAAAAAATATTGGGGATTTAAAATCTTTTCCCAGAGCAAAGGTTCAATGAAAAATGTGTAACTTCTGTCTTCTGTCTTAGTGTAATTTGATTAGAATGTTAGAAACATACTTCATACTCTTTGAGTTAGTACCTCTGTCTTGCTTGTAAAAAGCTTTATGTTGTCTGTATACCATTTAGAAACTTCTGTCCTGTCTTTCTGAAATGAAAAGCCCCACACCACAGCACTAAACCAAAACAAATCCAAACACAGCAAGGGGCAGGCATCTGTGTATTTGAAGAGGAAATAGGGAAAAGGGCCATAGTTACATAAATAATTTCTTTCTGTAGCTAGAGTCATGGATGTCATCTGCCTCTGCAGTTAAACAAGTTATTTTCTTTGTTTCTTTGGATTTTTTTTGTCTCCATGTTTCATAGATAGAAAATACACAAGCATTAAATGGAGAGGCAGTGCAGAGGTATGTGTATTTATAGTTTACCTCTGTAGGTTGTATTGGCTCCCTTCTCTTGTCTTAGGACAGAAGGAGGTTAAATTGGATACTGCTGAGAATACTAATCAGTTTGTTGCACATTAGATTCTGCCTTAACTCTTCTCCCCTTTTTATAACAGATTTTTCCCTGAGCTGCTCTGAAAAATATGGCTTCAAAAGTCATTTGTAAACTCAGTGCAAAAACTTGCAGCCACATGCAACGTGAGTGGAAATGCTGACAGCTGGAGAAGCACCACATGAAAAAGAGAGGGGAAAAATAAAATTCAAGACAGAGCTCACTCAGGCATGGTGGAACTGTTTGCAAAGTGGTTCAAATTTAGCAAGCTCTTACATAAGTGTGCTTTTAAATTCAGCTTTCTTTGATTACCCATCCATGACAAAACAGGTCACTCTGACATTGCACTTGTGGCCATATCAAACAATGACTATACTGTTTGTGGTCCAACTGGTCTCAGCTGTCATCTGTGGAAAGCCGTAGGACTTGTAGGCATGTGTCAGAAGACAGAACCAGGTTCTTCATAAAAAAAGGGATAGGAAGAAAATGGTGCTCTATCTCTGCAGCTTTGCAGTTATATTTTATCATTTTATAATGCAAGAAGTGGGGTAAACCTGCTTCACGTAGTAGGCAATGTCAAAAGCCTTTTTCTCACTTCTGGATTATGTTTATTACCAGGATACTCTGTCCCTCTTCAGAAACTCTAACACAAGAAACTTACGGAACTTTTCAGTGGAAATAGCTGTAAAGTGTTCCATCCAAATTTCTGGAGAATGAGATCATGTGAAAAATGTAGTCAAGAAGTGACTTAGCACTTTTTTTTTCTATAAACAAGTACAGTTTACAATTTTGCCACTCTGTTGCCAGCTGCATGTGTATGCAGTTCTGATTTCCTCTTTTTTTGGGTCTGTCACACTTACTATTTCATTCTATTTGGCAGACATCAAGTGCACCAAGATTTGGGATCTCACCTGCAAATTAATGCTGATGCCTTTTGTGATGAGTTAACTGCTAATCTTAGAAAATTGGAAAAGGTAACATCATATGATATAATGCAAGTGCTGATAGACCAATCAGGTTTTGCTGATTTTTGGTTCTTGGCTGGGTTTCTATGATCTTTTATGTTGAAAAGTGTTGAGTTACCCCCAGATTCACTACCAAAAGGTGGCATGTTTTCCTAGACAAAGGACTAGTTTTTGAACTGTAAATTAACCCTTGTATGAGCATTGGTAAGTGTAAAACCTTTGCCTTGAGCTGAGGCTTACAACCAGAAGTGTCCCTGAGGAAGACACTTTAGGGATAATTATTGCATTACATAGTGATCTCAACCTTTTTTCTTTTTTTTTTTTTTCTTTTTTTTTTTAATCCATCAGGGATAAGGGTTTTGAACTTAACCTTTATTGGTATCTGATGAATTTTTCTGTTTGGGGCTTTTGTTGGAGTTTTTGATTAAGAAACTGGTGCTTGCTTGCATATGTAGTCAGCTTCTTCACATAAAGTGGCTGGAATCTGCTTGTTTTACTTCAGTAACACAAATGCTGCTGCACCAGCTGTGCAATTCCCTCTGCCTCACCCTTAATTTTTACCATTCTCTAATTGGAAAGCTAAATGTATTTGATGACTTAATTTGGTGACTTGAATTGGAAACCTGTGTGGAATGAGTGGGTGTGTGTTACTTCCTTATTGGGTGTTTTTCCCCTTTTTAAAACACTTTACCAGAGGCTCCTCCGCTGTCATGGCTGGGGCTCGGCTGTGCCCTGCGGTGGGTCCACTGGATGCTGCTGGAATGGCTGTGTCCAGCACAGGACAGCCCCTGGTCCTGGCCCACAGCTGCTGCCCCTGCAGACCTTGCCCCACCTGCCCCCTAACCTTGACAAATGCACCCATACAGGTGGGTGAAGTGCTGTGTGTTGGGTACACAGGCCAAGCGTGACAAAAGCACTAGTGGAACAAAAACAAAAGTTATTTGAATTCCTGTGTGCTTAAGTCACATGGGATATTTTTGCCTCTGTTTCTAAAACTGAGTCTGTGCCAAGCTCTTTCAACACGTTTTTTTCCCCCCAAACCAAATGTCTCAAATGGCCTAAAGCTAAGACTGTATAATATCACTGTTTACGTGTGTGACATGGGTTTTAGAAATACTGCCAAAAAGGGGTTTCTTCCCCAACACCTTCACCCTCCTGGCTATGGAAATCTTGAGTAATGCTGGCTTAACCTTTCTGTATTTTCTGGATAGTAGTAGTGTGAATATAAGGGGAAGATGCTCACCAGATGGTTACCAGATACAAGCTTCAGCCAAACTGGGTCATTTTAGAGGTTACTGCTTTCTGTCTGTCTGGGACAGGCTGGCACGATGGTTCATAGGAGACCTCATTTCAGTGGGAAGCCAGCCAGCCAGCCCTTTGCAGCAAGGCTAGGCACTGTCCCACTCCCTTATATAGCATCTGCTTGGAGACAGTAATAGGCAGCTAGATGGTTAGATCATTCAGCTGTTCACAGAGAAGTGACCTTCTGTCCTAAATTAGAGTCTTAAGCGTTGTGCTTTCTTTGTTTAGTGTTTACAGGATTGGAGCCTTAAAGTCTTACCTTTATCTGCCAAATATTCAAGGCGATGAAGTGCTCTGCATACAAGCTAAATCAGAATTGCCTGTAGCAGCATATTACCACATCCTGCTCTAATCTAGATGAGCAGTGGTTAGAAATCAAATAGCTTTTTGTTCTCTGAGCAAAGTTACTATAGTTGCTTAACAGTTTCATATGCCTTAGTGAAAAGTGCTGGCTGCAACAGCAAAAGTAGTATACATGTTCCAGTATAACTTGAAATGTCTCCCCTGTGCTCCCCTGTGACCACAGCACTGTAAACTGGAGCACTGAGATCATCTAGATTAAAAACTAAAAATTGCTCTGCAGTTAAAAAATGGTTAGTGCACGAATATGTTGCCATGACTTTGTAAGTGTGACCTTGTGATTTTTACAAGTTCTTCAAACTTGGAGCCAATGAACTACCATTGTTTAGCAAAATTCTGCTAATTTGGATTTTAATTGTATTTAGCAGCTTGTTAAAATGCATCATGTCTATCAAAGGATAAAGCATTTAATTCTGGGAGGGCAAATGAGGCCTAATATTATTCATTCACATACACTAACTTAGCAAGCCAAAAGGAAATTCCTGTTTACGTGTTTAGCCACTCATAAAATTAGGTGCTTCTTCCTGTCTCCCTTTCCTCAAAATGCCCTTCTTGAGAAAGGGGTGCATCTGGGATAGAAATCATGAGGTAGGATTAAAAAGTGGTGTCCTTGATCAGGAAGTACAATGGTTCCTCAGATTGGAGCCTGAGTGTAGCTATGACTGAATCTGTAACCAGTGCCGGCAAGTTACTAAGATACTGAGCTATTGAGAACATAAGTGTCTGGGGATGTGACCTCCTCTCTGCTTTTAATAACAAGGAGATGAAAAGTAGATAAATAGGCTGTGTAAAAATAGGTCTGCTCAAATTATTCTAAAGGATGCAACTGGCTGACATTACTTTCATTGCAACTAAAGGAAGATAACCTACAATCGCTTCACTAAATCTGGTAAATGGGACATGTCTGCTAATGGTTAAAAAACTATATTTTGCTGTGCACACATCATGGCTGAAGCTGTTACAAAACTATTAGAATTATCTATTTGGTCATAGAGCTGTGATAGGAAGTTTGAGGCTTTTACTGGTTTTTGATCAAGGTGAAAATAATTCAGTTTCTCCCGTTGCTTCTAGCTCTGATTTTTATTTCTCTCTTATTTTCTTGTGACTAATGGAGAAGACAAGCTATAGGAGAAAATTTCAGGAGATACTCATCGTATGAAACTTAGATGTCCTGCTAGTTGATTATCTAGGTGCTCCATTTGATGCACTTATATTACACTTATTATAAGGGAAGCATTTAACAGGAATACCATTGGTATGAAGAGGTGTGACAGAACTAATATGCATACAGAGAATATTGAAGAGTATGTCTTGTTTTTATTTTTTATTTAAAATGCAGTGTAAAAACACTTCTTGCCTCCCAACTCTTTCCCTCTCTTTTTCTAAGATACAGAACAACTTACAAAAGCTACTTGAAGATGGTGAATGAAACATCAATGTTCTTGGACTGCTTCAGACCTCGTTCTTCTGTCTTGATAAACTGTTCCAAAGGAGCTCTGCTGGCCAGAGTTCAAGCTTCTTTATTTTCAGTCCAAGCCAAGCTTAAACTACTGTAAAGCTCATGTCATCATGCAAAAAAGTCAGTTGATTCTTCAGCATGTATCTATATATTTTGAAAACATAGATGTAGATCAAACCATATGTCTATGTTCTAAAAATGAGGGGATTTTTCTTTATTGTGTGTGAATTAATGGATTTTATAGCTTGCTTGATTTTAGAGTTGCTTACACCAGTGAAAACCTGGTGCATATTCTTTTACCTCAACCTTTACTTTGTGCTTATTGTCATACAAATACAAATGTGAAGAATGTCAGTCATCATTCATGTACTGAAGTGTTGTGTGAATGAGCACATATCTGTTTTAGCTATGATTATGGATTGGTGCTGTGCTCTTCATTTTTACTTGCTTCTCTGCACCCTGACATCCCAAAGATCAGGAAACAGACACCTCTGTGTTTGGGGATGCAAAGTTGTGAATGTTTGAGGTCTGCTCAGTTCTCCAGCGCTGTAAAAAGGCTCAATTCCACTTTCTGTGACAGTGTATCACCACTAAGGGTAAGGTCTGTTTCTACTGGCATTCAGGTTCCATTGAAGTCAAGCCTGTAATCTGTATGGACTTGCCAATTTACAGTCAAGTTGCTTATGAATAGCAATATGGGTGTGACACACCTGCACAGCTTAGAAAAACTGCTTGTTTTCTGTCCACTCATATGGTCTCTGTCCTTTAAGTTAATCAGTATGAAGATCCTCAGCCAGCTTTCCTTGGAGTTGCATGGGGTTGTGGTTGGCTGAGCAAGTGCAATTTGTAGTCCAGTAAATGGAAATCTAGTCTTGGTATGTGACTCCAGGGACTGGATATTTCCACATAATGAGAACTGGCAAATTAATGGTGCAGCAATACAAACAATCAGTAGAATGAATGAAAAAGTGGACACCTGCTTTGTATTATCATATACTATTTTTTTCCCGGAGTGCCTAAGATGGGGATTTTTAGCTTTCTGATTCACCAAGCAGGCTCATTAGTTTTTAAAAAGCAATATTTAGGATAATAACTACTATCTGTGAAGTAACAGTATTGTTTATAATATGCTATGCATTTTATAACCATTTCTGTGAAATGTACCGACGTTGTTTAAATAAACTTTTTTAAAACAAGTGACTCAGTACAATAGTTTGGATGAACCCAAGTCCATCCATCAGTTTTGATGAAATGTGATATTCATGAGGCTTACACCTCACAGTACAAAGTTTGTGCAAAACCCAGCACCCTAACACAAGGGGTTAGGGTCTGCATCCTGCTGCAGTCCTTCCATCCTGTGTGGCATCTTTCTGGATCTCAATGACAACAGTAAGAGCAAATTTGGCCCCCCAGGGTTTTCAGGACATGTTAATAGTTTTCTCAAATTCCCCAGGTTTTTCAAGTTCTCTCCTTTGAGTGTACTGGATGAGTATGGGAATGTTGAGGCAGCTTGGAGGGCCTTGTGGGCTCCAACATGCCTGCCTGGCTCAAGACTCCACCTGAGCACAGTATGTAAGAAATTTGTGAGATTTGACTGTTCTCCCTACTGAAGTCTCTGCCTTTGCTTCCTCAGCTATTGTAACTTTATTGGCAAACTCAGCTTCAAAGAAAGTTTCCAAAAGAAAGCTGTTGAAATAAGTGATTTATAATTTTTTTTCCCCCTTTTCCATACTCTACAATATTACAGCTTATGTAATGTTTTGGACTGTCACCTCATCCTCTACCTGCTCTTCTTCCCTCCCTTAAATTCTGCACCAGAAATCTCTAGCTCTGTAGTTGAAAAATTGGTGCCATGAGTCACTTTTATCAAAGAAACTACAAGAAAACCTTGTTATATCTAGCAGCTGAACTGCATTAGGCTTTTACTTACCTTACAGCGCCAAGTCTGTGCTTTTCTACAGGAGAACAGGGAGAGAGATAATATTTGATAAGTGCCTTAAGTAAATCAGGCAGGCTAAGCCCTTATCATTAGCCACACGGAACAAAATAATTACTGGAGGGAATGAGCAGTGAGAGGTGGATGTGTGCCCTTTAGCCTGCTGCAGCAGCATGCCAGGGAAGGTGAGTCTGGACAAAGGAGTGACAGTGTTCTTCCAAGGCAGGAAGGTGAACTACGCTCCAGAGAAAGGATTGGCTTGTGACACAGTAGCCACGTGAGTGCACTGGCACAGTTCTGTGTGACCTCCCCCTCTCTCCCCCTTTTCCTAGAGGGAGGAGGAGGAGGAGGAGGATGTCTCGAGGATGTCTCACTCTTGGGGCAGCAGGGCACAGGTGGGCAGTGAGCAGTACTGAGGTACTTCAGGGAGCACTGTAAGGCTTCACGTGGAGAAAGCTTTGAAGTGGAGTGATTTAAATCCTGTGATTCAAGCTTGCAGCTGGAGAGGACGGGGCTTGCCCTAGTCAGGTTTGGGAGGGAAGTACTAGCAGCAGGAATAAATAAGGAAAAGCTGCTTTCCCCCAAGGCCCGAACTCTGTTAAAAGAGCAGGGAAACTTCTTCCAGTGTCTGTGGCAGGTAGTGCATACAGAGGCTAAGAGGAGGTGTTTGCCTTTTGGCAAAAGCATGAGTTTGCAGAAGTAGGTGGGAAAGATGTGTGACTTTACTTAAGTTCAGAAATGCACAAAAAATTCTTAGCTCAATCTCTGACTAGCAATTGTTCATAACTTGCTGCATGGAAATCTGCTTTAAAAAGACAATTTAAAAATTTATTGTATGTTTGTTTTTCCAGTTTTGTCTACCTGTTGTGCTTCACAGTATAGAGGCTAGAAAAACAGCCGAGTTCTACCAGCCATGCAGGACCTAGTAGTTCAGTAGTGCCAGGTTCTGGGAAGGTGCTTTGAGTTTGCAGGTGGAAGGCAAGAGGGGCACATCACCCGTGTTTCCTCTAGTTGTGGTTAGTGAAAATAGTAATAAGGATTTGTATTGGCTATCTGGATAGAGGGGTTGTTGAACTAGTTTTCTGTCAAGGTATCAAGTTTATGGTACTGTTGGTGTGAATGCTGCAGCTGGCACTCTAGGCAGGGAGTATGATCTGCTGAAAGCCTCCCTCTCAGCAGAGCATCAAAGGTAGCAGCTCACATTCACATTTGCAGGAAAGAGAGTTTTGTATGTGTTTTTGTTTGAGTATATCTGAGCTTAATACTAGAACTTGCTTTCACTTGAACCTTCATACAGATGTGTACTAATGCTTTCTGCTTCCTGCTACACCTGCACTTTCATTTCCCTGTTTCCACCTCAGTCAGTTGGCAAATGCTAAAGAAATCTCCAGGCTGGTGTTATCCAGGCCTTTGCAGGCTATTTCTCAGCTGGTTCAGCTGCAACTGCTAGTGAGGTGTTATTCCCAAATATGTAGGAGATTTTGCATTTACAGAGCAGGTGTGGTGCGTAGTAATGATGAGAAAAAGCTGGCTATTTAGACAGAAAACTAAGCAAACAGCTACACTGAGCAAACAGTTCTTTTTGTGTTCAGTGCCTGTGTGCATGCTTCTATAAACAGCAGAGGAGTAATGTAATTTGAAATGATTTTACCAGCACCTGCTTTTCAGTTTGCCTGGTGAGACTATCTGAGTCTGACAGGCAAATTTGCTCAAGAGAGAAAATTGACTCATCTCATTTGACACTTCTAGGTTTATGGTTTGAACCCAGTGGAGCGTTCTGCTAAACATGGTTGCATGTAATGAGACTTTACAAAAGGGATGGGTTTTTTTGCTTTCTTGGATTTTAAAATCAGTGTAGTATCATTTTATGAATGTAGAGCCTCATAATATTCTGTTCTTTACTGAACAGCCACAAAAAATGTATCTCATTGAATTTCATTTAATTGTATCTAAAGTTACCCTCTGTTTATCATAAGCCATCCTGGATTTTAACAAACAATCAATCAAATGCGAACAACAGAACAAGGTACAATCTACAGTAGATGCACAGCACTTGGGAGAGTTTATTCCCTGAGCTTCATGAAGTGTTATGATGCTTATCACTATTCCTGTCCAAAATACAGGCATTTCACTTACACAGTTGTTTCAGACTTTCTGATCTTCTTCCTGGTGACATCTGCTGACTCTCAAGTTTCCATTTAGTCAAACCGGTCAGTGAGACTATGCCTACTCATCTTGAATTAAATGTCAAATTATTTGGGTGACAAAGCCTAGATCTAGTGTTTGTAAGACCTTGACTACACCTGCTATTGGTCGTACCCTCAAAAGGGATGATCCCAAGAAGGAACTGATTAGAAGTGTCCTATGAGAGGATACTAGCAGGATTAGTATGATAATCAGAAGTGGTTTTTTCTCCTGTACCTAGTTTCATATCTATTATAGTCTGCAAACAAGGGGTCAGGATGCAGCACCTTAGCAAGCAGACTTTGAACAGGAATTCAAGGTATGTCAGTAAAACCTTTCCCAAGACTGTGTTTCATGTACAAAGCGGACAAGAATACTCCAGCTATCCCCTACTGAAGTTAAAAATGCTTTGTATGAATCACTTCATCTATTTTCCCAGAGTTGGATGTCTGTTCTCTTAGTAAACACCTGTGCCAAAAAACTTGGAAAAAGGGAGTTCCAGCAGAAATGATTGCCCTCCATATACATTTTATACTGACTAGGCTCACACTAGCTGCCAGCCTTTGTGAGTTCAGTCTAGATAGTTCTTCCCTCTGATTAATTTTTTTAATTTGTCCACTGTGGGTAGAGCTTCTGCTGATGTATTTTACTGCCTGTGTGACATTCTTGTCTTCCCAGTTTCTGTACTAAGTCCATTTGGAATCTGCTTAAATGTTCATTATGTTCTTCAATTCGAAAAGATACCTTTCCCTGGCTTTACATAAACAGCAAGCTTGTGTCATGATGATGTAGCAGCGTCATGTTCTGGAGGTGTGACATTCTACATTAAGCTTCAAACAAGGATTTGATAGTCTTTGGCAATGCAGGTAGTTTGGACTCTCACTTAATGGTATTGATAAGGTAATTTTCCACTGACTAGGCATTTTAGCAGTGCTTAGGAGGAGATGAAAGGAAAATCATTCTGATGTGCTGTGAAGTACAAAATTAAAAATCAGCTCTTCACACTATCTACAGGTAGATGGATAAAGTCTCCCTCCAAGAAGAAAAGGTAATGAGTAACTTAATTATAACCTTACGTGCTAGATATGGCATGCAGGGCAAAAAACAGCTCTGAATTCTTCCTGCACTTAAAGCTTGCTGTCGTGGCAGTGTGCACACGTGGGCTCATTCCAGAGCAAGGGCAAGGTGAGAAGAAAGTCAGTTTGTACTAACAGCTGTTTCCACGACATATGTAATGAACCACAAACCTTCTCTCGCAAACGAAACATAAATGCCTCAGCACTGGCTCACGATACTTGCATAAAGAGATGTCCTTCCATGTTTTTCCCAAAAACTGTTTCAAGTGATGCCACTGACAGCACACAGGAAGAAGACAATATAATCCATGTTAACTGACCTGAAAACGGTCACACTTCTAAAGATCACTCTGATCAATAGTAATGGCTATAGGGAAGAATCCTGTATGAAGGACCAAGTTCTTGATTGTATGAACATATTGTCCATACTTCTCTTCCAAGTCTCTTCATGGATTTCTGATTCTGCAGTCACGCTTTGACCATCACAGTAAATGCTACCACAGAAACAGTTTGTGGGTTGGGGTCTAATTGAACTAAGGAAGCACACGATTTGTGTTAGGTTTAGGACTAAGGATATGAGACTGCTTGTAGCCAAATATTGAGAGCTCTAATATTTAGTTACTCCCTCCTTCTGCTTATAGACCATCCTCTGCCTCCATTTCCCATCTTGTTCTGTCAGATGTAGCCTGGATCCAAAAGCTGATCTTCTAAATAGTAACCCATCCAAAACCAGTTAATTTCCCATTAGAGATATGGGTAAGAGTCTGTAAAAGAGCCCAGTATCAAATACAGGCATGTTGAGCAATGTCTAAAATAATGCTTTAGGAGCCTTGCTGACATCACAGCTTTTTTTCCTCAGTTGTTTCTGTAATTGTATTCCATGTAAAGTGAAGCAACACTGGAAACCGCAAGAATATTCTGAGGCGAGTTCTTGGCACGCCTGTCGTGTACCTCTGTGCTTCCCCAGGGAGCCACAGCAGACCAGATCTGTCAGAGCAGAT